ATGATGATGATGAAGATGATCAAAAACTACCAGTCTCTCTTGAGATGAGGAAGCACCAGCAGCCAGTTTAATATGTGAGGGACAACAGGCATCTGTGGAAAACTGCAGATGCTACATTGAAAGTACCATGTGTCAAATGTTGAAGAAAAAAAAATATTATCACTATGAGCTATACCAGCAATCCTTCAAGACTGCTAAATAATCTATTAATTATGCAGACATACCTTCTGCTACAAAGACCTAACACATACATCTGAAGTTACGTAGCACTAAAGAAACACGTGTTGGGAAGTATTATCAATAGTTTTCACAAAACAAGCTAAACATACTTTGTTTTTGTGTAACATAAAAGATGTTCAAGAATTCTGAAAGTGAACAGAGGTGTCTTCAAGATCAGTTATACCACACTGAAAAGGAGCTTGAGTGAGAGAGATATCCACATACAGTATTGGCACATGCTCTGCAGGACAAATACACCCTCATGATGTATTCGCGAAGGCTTTCACGGCCGGGACCAGGCGCCTCCACCCTGGACCATACTCTCACACTCTCCTTTTTGATTAGCAAATACACTAAACACTATGGTGCCAAAATGTACTCAGCCTTTATCGATCTCAAAGGCGCATTTGATTCTGTCCTCTGAAGATGCCGGCCACAGAGACTGGCGAAACGTTAGGAAGAACAACCTTCAGAACATGGCCAAAGAGCCTGAAAAACCCACAACAACCATTACACCTTCATGATATTTTGAAACATAAAGGTTATGCTGAGGATCAGTGGGGTTAGCTGCATGTCAAACCCTAGGTGCTTGAACATTGTCTAAACTAAAGGGAATAAAAAAGCATAGCCATACAAGAGACCTAAAATGTGCATAAGACGCATACCACTTTGTTATTTTGTCAATTTAAAGAAGCATATCTCCAGTAAACCTTTATCATTTTCAACAACATTTATTTTTCAGACATACAAATTGAAGGATTTATTAATTCAATCAATATGCTAATATACCACTTTTCAGAGACTGGACTTGACCCCTTCCTGGGGGGGGGGAGAGAACTCAAGTGGTGCTGGAGGGGCTCCTGCTTGATAACTTGGCCATTGGCCTGTGGAGTCCCTGTTTTGTCCCTATGCTATTTCTACATGAAACTGCTGAGTGAGTTTGTCTGGAGTTTTGAGATTCAGTATCACCAGTATGCAGATCGATCACAACCCACTCTATTTCTCCTTTCCATCTAAATCAGAGGAAATTGTTTTGGGGTCAAAATCAGTGTCTGGTGCCAGTAACAGATTGGATGAAGGTTAATACACAGGAACTTAATCGAGGCAAGTCGGAGGTGCTCTTGGTCAGCTGAAAGGCAGAGCAGGGAATAGGAATGCAATCTGTGCTGGATGGGGTTACACTGCCTCTGAAAACACAGGTGTGCAGCTTGGGGGTTCTCCTGGATTGGTCTCTGAGCCTGGATGCCCAGGTTTCAGGCAGTGGCTAGGAGAGTCGCTACAAGTCGGTTCCGACTTGATGGCACATAACAATTGGAATGTTCCTCACTTTGTAAAACTGAGATAAATGCAATCCAGATTTCCACAACCTGATAAGAAATGTGTGGTTTTACATAACTGCTCTACAAGCTCTCTCCAATATACATTCCAATGAAGAGCATCCTGAATACCTCAGGAGGTTCTCTGCTCCCCAAGCAGCTTTGCTTCTGGGGAGGGTGGCCCCTTACTCACCAATTAACAATCTTCCCCATCAGGCTCTTGGAAGCATCACTCTTGAGCACCTCTCTCTCCACTAAATGATAGGGGTACAAAACATCCAAAGGAAATTCCACAAACACAGGACCTGCAAGACAGGCGGGAAGTTACATAACCACTTCATCCTGTCAATAAAATCCCTATTGGGAAAAGAAAAGAAGGACCTGTTCTGGTCCATTTCTGCCGTACTCTAAGGCACAGTGGTGTTGTGGCAAAAGAAAGAGGTCTTGACTTCCAAGGTTCATATGGGACATGGGGTTGGGGAGGGAAGCTATAGGGGAGGAATCCATTTACTGTCTTAGTGAACAGCTTTGACTTTATCAAAACTCCCAATATTCAGCATCTGCGATACTGAAGGAGCAGAACCGACTTGTTCCAGGCCGGTGACAAGAGGGGCCCTACCTGGCGTGCCACACTGAGCAATGGCAATGGCCTTTCGCAGCACAGGGCTGATATCTCGAACAGTCTTCACTGAAGCACAGAATTTACAAAGTGACTTGAAGAGAGACAACTGGTCAATATCCTGGAGAGCCCCTCGACCCTGAGGAGGGAAGAAGAAAGGAGGGAAAAAAATGCTTACTTCTCGACCCTGAGGAGGGAAGAAGAAAGGAGGAAAAAAAAAACGCTTACTTTTGCACATTCACATGGATACACCTAGCCTTGCCATCAGACGCACAAGCAAAAATGATCTGCTAACCACAAAGATATTGCTAAGAACAGCTGGCAGGTTGAAGGCGAGAGGGATAGCAAGCCCAGGCACAGCAGTGAAGAATACAGGCAGGCCAAAGCGTAGCTACATCAACTAGGAACACCATCAGGCTCCAATTCCTACTCCAAGATCAGTGGCCGAGGTAGCCTACCTTCTGCAACGTGGCTGCCGCCCCTCCAATCAATAAGACTGGAGACTCTGCCATCTGCGCATTTTTCACAGCCGTTACAGTGTTTGTCACTCCTGGTCCTGCTGTTACTGCAGCAACTCCCAGAGTCCCTGAAACAGGGGGAAAAAAATGCAGAGGCAGTGCCATTTGTGTCCCACCTCTCCAAGGAACAACAAGATGACACAAAGCAGGTACCTGAGAGCCTGGCCACTGCATCGGCTGCAAATACAGCTGTTGCTTCATGCCTCGTGTCCACAATGCGAATGCCTAGCTTCTCGCTGGCCACTAAAATAGGTGAGATATGGCCACCAACCAACGTGAACACATAACGCACACCGTGAGCTTTCAGTACTTCCGCCACAATCTCCCCACCGTGCCGAGTGCTCTTAGGGTCCACCTAGAATAGATAAAGCTGTATTTTGGTGCTGGTTTCAGGAACACATAGAAACGTAACTACTTTTTCTTACTGTGCTTCTGGGTGGAGAGCCAGAGGGACTAAGGGGCAAGAAGACTGGACGCATTTACAGGGATAGATAATTTTACATCTTAGTTGTCCTGCTACAGATGTTTCACCATGAGCATCTTCTGATCAAAAACCAAAATTACCAAAACCTCACAAGCTAGCAAGGTTATGCTCAAAATCCTCCAAGGTAGGCTTCAGGAGTATGTGGATCGAGAACTCCCAGAAGTACAAGCTGGATTCGAAGGGGCAGAGGAACTAGAGACCAAATTGTTAACATGCACTGGATTATGGAGAAAGCCAGAGAGTTCCAGAAAAATATCTACTTCTGCTTCATTGACTATGCAAAAGCCTTTGACTGTGCGGACCACAGCAAACTATGGCAAGTCCTTAAAGAAATGGGAGTGTCTCACCACCTTATCTGTCTCCTGAGAAACCTATACGTGGGACAGGAGACAACAGTTAGAACTGGATAGGGAACAACTGATTGGTTCAAAATTGGGAATGGAGTATGACAAGGCTGTACATTGCTTATTTAACTTATATGCAGAATACATCAGGTGTAAGGCTGGACTGGAGGAATCCCAAGCAGGAATTAAGATTGCTGGAAGAAATATCAACAGCCTCCAATATGCAGATGATACGACTC